TTTCCTCAATATATTAAACTCAGCAAATGTGTTCTGTGTAGTGGATGTGTTAACTTATTTTCACTTAACAAAACATGTAATTTGACCACGGGTGCCCAAACGTTTGCATACGGCTGTGTATATTTCTTTGGTCATTTGCTCTGGTCACTTATTCTACTCGCCACACATGCAATGAAGTGCATCTTGAATTAGACTGCTTATAAATGTGTGTGTGTGTGTGTGTGTGTGTGTGTGTGTGTGAAGGCCTTTCATCACAGCGCTAAGCGCTCTTCTATTCCGGCCCATTTGACCTCTGACCCCAGTGCACTTGGAGCTGGACGGGGATTGATTTTTTCGATGCATGTATGTTGCCACTCATTTGCTAGCTAGATGGGTGCGCCTGCTGAAATCTAATCGCATGAGCGGAGGTTAGCCGCGTGGGTTAACGCACTATTACAGCTCAGATGACTCTCTGGATCTTCTCGTGAGTTCTCGCTGGTGGACTGACTGTGGGAGATTTAGGTTTGATCCTTTGGACATCAGGCAACAGAGTGACAGAAGAGAGGATTTAGTGTTTGATCTGGCAACCTGAAACACAAGTGTGGAGATTTATTTATTTTTATTATGGTAAATATTACGCAATTACACTGCTGTTCAAGAAGTGCAGATTCACTGTTTTTAATTATAGAAAAGCAATTTTGTTGCAGAAACAGGTATTGTTTTAATATCCTATACATCTGAAGCGACTTGCACTGATGACCAGAGCCATAGAGGATTTCATAAGCATGGAGAAAGCTGTAAAGCATTGAGGATAAACTCATAATTAAGTTAATATCCAGAATGATTCATATTTGAAAAGCGGTCATAAAATTTCACTAATGAAATAAATATTCATTATCATTTTTGTGACAGGAAATGTCAAAACTTTCTGTTCAAAATCCCAAATTGTTCATTATTTTTATTAGTTTCTGTTTTGGTATAGAGTTTATAACATTTCAATCTACAACCGATAACAACTTTCTTCTCTCTCTCTCTCTCTCTCTCTCTCTCTCTCTCTCTTTTTCTCTTTTTTTCTGTCTGTCTCATTCTTCTTTTTTGTCTCCCACCTGAATTCTCTACTTTCTTTCTCTCTCTTTCTTTTTTTCTGTGTCTATGTCTCATTTCTCTTTTTTGTCTTCCACCCATACCCCTTCTGTCACATTCTTTTTGGTCACTCCCTTTTTCATATTCCTCTTTCTCTCTCTCTCTCTCTCTCTCTCTCTCCCTCTCTCTCTCTCTCTCTCTCTTTTTCTCTCTCTTTTCCCTCTTTTTTCTTTCTGTCTCATTCTTCTTTTTTGTCTCTGCCTCTTTCATATATTCCTTCTCTCTCTCTCTCTCTCTCTCTCTCTCTTAAACTGAACTTAATAACAATATGACAAATACATTGAATAACTGATTTAAAAAGCATTGACCAAAGGAATCACTATGAATAAATAATTACAATAAATTATTAATTAACATCTTGTTCCCAAAATACTTTAAATTGTGAATAAACCATCACTTTACAGTTTGGTGTATAGTTTATAACACTTCAACTCTCTCTCTCTTTATCTCTCTCTCTCTCTCTCTCTCTCTCTCTCTCTCTCTCTCTGTAGCATCAAGAGTGAACTTAATAACAATATGACAAATACATTGAATAACTGATTTGAAAAGCGTTGACCAAAGGAATCACTATGAATAGATAATTACAGTAAATTTTTAACATCTTGTTCCCAAAATACTTTAAATTGTGAATAAACCATCACTTTACAGTTTGGTATGTAGTTTATAACACTTCAACTCTCTCTCTCTCTCTCTCTCTCTCTCTCTCTCTCTCTCTCTTTAACTCTCTCTCTCTCTCTCATCTCTTCCCTTCACTCCTCCTGCCTCCTCTTCTCTGTGAAGCGCATTATCGCTCTCTCTCTCTCTCGCAGTCGCGCGTCAAACCCCCGGCGAAGGAGAGGAAGAAAAATCAATACGAATTACGATGGAGAAAGTGGCGCTGATGGCTGGAATTGCAGCATATGTTTACACTAAATCAGGCAATCTATCTTCATACGGCCGCGCTGATGCGGACGGGGTCAGAGTGCGGCCCGCACACGCACACACTCGCGCAAGCATGCACTCCAATTACTCCTGCACATGACCGCCAGGCTCGCATATCGATTGGCTGAGAGGACAGGGGGCCCTGAAGGCAGCCAATGGGGCACCAGGGCCAAAGGTCAGGGGGATTTTAATAAGAGAAGTAATGGGCTTAATTTCTTCAGGGTTTGATAGAGGGAGAAGGTGCATGCAATACACACACACACACACACACACACACACACACACACACAATTATTACATACTAAGGCTTATCATTCAGTAACTATAGGGACTTCAGTGCAAACTGGCTGAGCTATTCTTAGGTCAGGGGTCAGCAATCCAAACGTTAAAAAGGGCTATTTTGTCCTTTTAACAAAAATCAAACCACCTTGGGAGCCACAACATTTTATGTTCATTTTGTTTAAGTAACGTTTCCCCATCTTGGCTGTAAATATGTCTCAGTGTGTGCTGATGTCCTAGTATAGACTAAAAATATATTATAAGTGAAAGCACAGACTTACTTTGCTCTGCTTTAAGCTTTAGCTCAGCTTTAGCTGCTTTTCTCGCATCTCCAGCAGGAAACTTTTCCTCAAAAGTAGAACAGTTTCTTGTAAATGGTCTCTCAACGTTCGACTTTTTTCGGGGCTGATATCAGCTTCTCATTCGCCAGCTTCTTGTTTGAATTTCCCCGTTCCACCTTAAATACACTTGCTGCACCATTTAAGGTGGAACGGGACAATTAGAACAAGAAGCTAGTGAATGAGAATCTGACATCAGCTTTGCTACTTTAGTGTTTAACAGTTTCTTGTTGCAGATTAAATGTATCAGGAAACCAGCTGAGTGCTTATAAATGCAAGTCCATTCATCTCCAAATTATCGATGTTCGTCTTCAATCTTTCTCTTTGCCTTTTCGTTTACTACTAACTAGGCAAGATTGTTGTTTGCGTTGCGTAGTGACCATCAGTCTGCGCGCCAGCCTTCAGGGTTACAGGTTGGTGAATTAACAGTTATACATTAAATCCAGCATTTAAGGCCATTTATTGTTAAAATTGTGTTAGAACCATCAGCAGAGCTTTATTTTACTGCAAAGGAGGATTATTTTATTTTTACCTAAAATCTAATTCTAATATAACATCTTCTCAGAAATATCTCCTTAAAAATGTATACTTAATGGCCATTTTGACCACTAAAGGTGTTCTATAAGTTTTGCACAGTGATGCAAGCTGTTCATAAACACTGTGAAGTGCCAATAGCCTTCAAATAGAAGTGTTACCAACTTATCCAACCTGGCAACAGTTCTTACAAAAGAATGCATTTGTAGGCACATTTTAGGTCAGTTCAATGTCAGTTTGTTAGCATGACGTCTGATGAAGAGAAATAAATATTTTCTTAATGCTAATTACACCAGCGGACTATACCGGTTCTACTGATATGAGTGCAGTGTATCAGAGACAGCTTCTTTATTACAGAGAACACAAAGGGTCTGTTGCGTCCCTCTCACACACACACACACACACAAACAACCCATGGGTGCACACACACACACCTACACACGCACACATCCTGCAAGTGCTGTCAGCGCGCTAGCTCTTTTCTCCTTCACTCTGTGAAACCGTCTCAAACAAATTTGATTTAGCAGCTCGCCGGGGCCCATTCCCGCCGAAAGAAAACAAATATTGTTATAATGGTAATAACATCTATTTGCCTCGCGCGACAAACGGCAGCGGAGGCCCCTTTGAAAAGAGGCCCCTGCTCCGGCGCTGCAACCTTATTCTTATTCATGAAAGCGCCGGTTATGCATATTAGCGCAAACTAGCTATTCTACTCGCCGGCATTTGGAGTGTCAATCATCCTTACCCAATACAAGAGGCAACGGTGACAAAAGCGGAGTGGGCAAAGAAGGCTGACAAATTGTCCCCAAAGTCAAATTTGACAGCCTTTTATGATTAATGGGCTTGATTATGGAGAAATATCTCCCTAACTGCTTTTCCGGGTGTTTCCCCCTCTCTCCCCCTGCCGTTTAGAAGCCAAAGCTGGGGAAACGGGGCGTCGTCAGAGAATGAAATCAAAAGTGCAAGGGGGTAGAGTGAAGGAAGGGGAATTGAATTAGGCAGGGCGGAGATTTGCGTGAATAGGGGACAGGTAGGCCATAGGGTACGGCCGTGCACTTCATAAACATGAGTCTTTGTGTGATTTCACAAGTTGCTACAGATAAACTGACCAAAACTGGAACTTTTTTCCCATGTCATCATGCTCACCTATTAGATGTGTGTCATAGATTTCTAGGCCTATAGAATTTAATTATATATTACATTGTTGTTTGCCACTTTTTTAGAATCCAGCATATAAGCATATAAATGTTAACATGGTGATGGCACCTACCGAAAAATTGTGATGATCTAAGAAGTGCATGGATGCAAGTGCCTTTGCTCATGGCAACCTTACTTTCATTGGAGAACTTAAAAAGTCAGTCAGAAGTCTAGGGGGAATGGGGCCTGGCCTCCATCTGGGAGTCCCCAGCCCCCCTCAGGCCTCCTCGTAGCTATGCCATAGTTAGAATCCCCTACCTTGTTGCTCCACCTTGCCGGAGCGCAGTTGAAGACTGTAGCTCATCTGCTGAGTGGAAGTAGGTAGAAATGTCTAAGAAAGTCAATACTGTAGTATATTGGATTTACAGTGCCAATTGGAATAGTAATGTTGTTATTGCCAATATTAGCCATATTAGAATATCCCAACACACCTTAATATAACCTGTTCCTGCTGTCCTGTTTGTATCGTTCAATTGACTACTGCAATAATTTTGATGCATCTTCTTGCACTTTGGCAAATAAACACACAGAAATCCCAATTCTAAACATGCTTATAGCAGAAGTCATTGGGCACTTACTGAAACCATCCATCTCCTTTCTGTCCCTCAGCTCTCAATGAACCGACCATTGACTACGGTTTCCAGAGGCTACAGAAGGTCATCCCCCGCCACCCCGGAGACCCAGAGAGGTTACCCAAGGTAAGCGGCCTGCAGTCGGACAGTTTAAACTGCCAGTCACGAGTTGTTTCAACTTTTTTTTTATTGCAAAAGCAGCAGCTTTCCAATACTGACAGCAGCCATCCTGAAACAATCGATATGTTTGCTGTGCTTTATGTTGGTAGACTCAGAGATATCAATGAGACTTTGGTGCTGTTTCTGTAGTTCCTTTTTCAGGAATTGAATTGTTTATTTTTACTGCTTAACATTAACATTAGAAAATTAAATATTACTGTGCAGATACAGTTTATATGTTACCTACATGATCTACAACAGTGTTTCCAAAATTGGTCCTCAAGGACCCCATAGATGGTACAGATATTTGCTCCATAGGGGTAGAGCAAAAATATGGACAGTCTGGGTTTGAGAAGTGGTTTGAGAACCGCTGATCCTCAACATGCTAGCAGAATGGTGAGCTACTCAACCCATGGCAGATTTTTTTAAAGGGGCCATCACTTTTCACTTGCTTTGCAATGTTCACACTTATCCCACACAAGTGTTCATGATATGAATTTATTTGCCTTTTCATTCAGTTGCATGAAAATAGAGGCTTTCAGTTTGAGCCATAGATATGAAAATCAAAAGCCTACCTTTATGAAAAAGTGCAGTTTGGCTAGCACTCTTATGGGGTTTGTAGTGATACGTTGGTGCCAAACTAATGCTAGTGCACATGCATGTTTTTTGGCCATTCTGTAAAAATAATATGCAGCTTTAAAATTAAAAAAATAACTGGGTTATCTTGAAATTTTGAAGATGAATAGTTGCATGTTTTACATTCTATAACTTATTATTTGAAGTTCAATGAACTCAACATTTTAAATTAACCCTATTGATTACTTTTACGGGTTTAGAAGCTGCATCATTTTTAAATATAAACATTTGAAGCTTGCCAAAGACATTTTATTTGAAGCTTGTAATAGACAATAACATATATACATAATGTACATAATGTACATAATGTAGCCGTTTTCCATTTCTAACAACTCCTTTAAACTTGATTAGACTCTGCATTGTATTCAGAGTAAGTGGTATATCTAGAACTTCCAGAGGGCCTAGAGTGATGTAAGTTCTCATTATATTGGTCCAGTTCATTGGATATCAAATTTTGATTGGTTGATTCCACTGTCATTAACATATAACAACATATTTTACCTTGTAGCAATGTTATAGTGAGTCCCTGGCATAGAGCCTTTGCTGCTGTTTTCCAACTGTTGTGGCCATGTGCTCTTGAATGGCTTCTTCGCTCCATAGATCTATCAGGTATTCCGTCTCTTCTGCTGTCCACAACAATCCTTTCTCCGTCATCACAAAACCTGAAAAGGGAAGTGATGTGAGAAGTTGAAGCAGTCCTGTTACAAAATGAGCTGATCATGCAACCCCACTTGCAGCGCAGGAAGCGGATAGCTTCCACAAGCATAGCAGACAGCACCAGAGTTTCAACCCTAGACCACTGATTTCAAGAAAACCAGAGATCAGTTCTCTGGACTGCCCCCACTCTCAGAGCAAGCAGCCCTATGTCCAGATAAAAACTCTTGTGTGAAAATACCCTAAAACATAAAACTTAGATTAGATTACACCTCGTGTTCATAGTCAGTGACGTATCTAGAACTTCCAGAAGGTCTAGAGCGATGTAATTCTCATTAAATTGGTTCCATCTATTGGAAATCAAATTATGATTGGTTGATTCCATTTCCTAAATAAGTTGGTAGTTAATCTGACATGCTATGGCTTCATCTCGGCTCCTAAAGTCCTAACCAATAGTAAAGCTAGTTTGCTTGTTCCAACCTAGAGATACAGTTTTACCTAAAACATGATGAAATAACAATAGTAATCAAATACATGCAACAGCAACTATGATTATCTTTTAGATAAAAATGAACTAAAAACATACTTTTTTATTTTTATTACTTTTTAGTTGGCAGAAACCTTTAGTCTTTCTGTGAAGGCCTAGAAGGCCCTGAGGGTTCCCCTCCGAAAACAACAATGATTCCTGGACTCCCTATCAAAAATTCGTCCACATTCCATGATCTACAGTGATGCATAGAACTGTCTATATGGGTAATTTGAGTGGGCTATAAATTGGCATTTTTTGAGCAAGTCGGACCCTGCATCTGAGAGTTGTACTTGTGTTAGCTGCCCTGAAATGCACTGATGTCTGTGAGAACAGGTCCAGGTCAGGAGCCTGAGGGTGCTGCTTTTGATAGTGTGTGTGCTCTTGTCTAAAAACACCACATACAGGCCTGTGAATGAAACCCATTGTGTGAGGCTGCTTTTGAACCTATGTGTTAGACTGGCTGTGCTTGTGGTCAGATGGGTGATATGTGGTGGTGTGGTGAACTCAGAGACAAGAAAAGAAAGCAAGTTGTACTCACAAGATAACGCTCTATTTATATCTTAAAGGAATAGTTCGGAGAGAAGTCAAACGTAGCTCTTGACTCAAACCATGTGGAGTTATTAAAGAGAAATTTACAGAATTTCAGCGTAATAGACTTGTTGAGATGCAAAGTCATTCAAAGTGGTTTGTTGTGAAATGGTTAACTGTAGAGAAACTTACCAGATTTTTTTTACTGTGGTGGTGATAGGAACCAGGGGTCACAATATCTACAACATATATGCGTCCATTTTATTTACTATAAAAAAAAGTGAGCCTACACATCCTGTGAGTTTTATATCTAATGTTAATGATGGTAAATCAGACAAAATGCATTTCTTTATGTGCTATTTTGCCTTACAGCACCATGCATGCTCCTCTGCATGGGCCAATCACTTAAAATCCAGGAATTATTACATACTAAGGTAGGTTACTCTGTGACTATATGGACTTCAGTGCAAACTGATTGAGCTATTCTTAGATTATAAAAGTGTGTACTAAAACTTTGGGCCTGCTGGTGGGACCTAGCAATTTAAGAGGTTAAAAATATATGTATAACGCTAAAATCTTCTCAACAGTATCATAAAATGAGATCATGCATCAGTCAGCATATTTGTATTAATTTCATAATAATAATAACTCTCTGTGAGGGAGCTTTTAGAGGCATTAAACTCTTCAGATGTCTGGTTCCCATCACCACCATTGTGAACAATTTTGACTAGTGAGTTTCTCCACAACAAAACATTTCAGATCAAACCACAACTGAACATATTTATTTACATTTTAACCATCAAGTTATGCAAAAATTTTGGAATTCTCCTTTAAGTGATTTCAGCTACTGACTAATTGTGAGTACTCACTAATAGTGGTTTCTAACACCGCTATACTGATGGTAATATAAAAAAGTGGACAAAACTACATTAATTTTTTTCCCAAACTATAGACATTGAACATGTCTTGGCTACATTTGAGGTAAGGGGGATTTGTGTGAATTAGATTTTTTTGCCAAGGATGTCCTTCAACCCCATTACTTTTTACAGTACAGTGAAAACAACATGCTGTTGTTTGAATTACTTCTTAATGATGGCTCATTGAAACAATGAAAAGCTCTGTTGAAAGTGCAGATCCTAAACTTTCAATCCACAATAGTGTTGTTTTATTAAAAATGTTTTATGACATTATGTATTCAATGTTTATTGTGGAAGGAAAAAAAAGACGTCCTTTACCTTCTTGCCAGGTTTCTGTCATTTGTTGACACTGAAAGAAATGCATAATTGAATCTGTTGATGCAGAATGTAAATTGAATGTAAGTAGAGTTCTATGTTTAAAGAGGAATTCCACCAATGTGATCAAAGTTTCCACATAATGCAATTACAATACAATATTAAGAGATATCAGTGTAATAAAATAGGCAATCATTAAAGTCATTCAGGATAGTTGGATGTGAAATGGAGATAGGATTTTGGCATAAAACATTTTTTTAGCCCAATTATGGCAGATTTATGGCAGACACTGGTCATTTTAGATGATTTTTATAACTCCTGGCTCCTATCACCACCATTGAGAATGTGGATCTGTACGTTTCTGAAATTGCTTACATCTCACTGATAGAATTATGTACATTATGTATATGTATTTTTTTGAAAAATTGGTGGAATTCCCTTTTAACGTACTCCCTAATTAATCCTGACATTGTGCAATTGGACAGCAAAACACAAAAGAACTCTAGACTCTAAAGGATTAAAATAAACTAAAGCCACCCCCCCCAAAACAAACAGTGTCCCGTCAGGTGCTGCGTGCGGTTTGCCGCCTGGTTAGTATGAAAAGATTATTTTGCCCTAAAAAGGCAGGAGGCTAAGTGAGAGAGATTCTTTCGGGCAGAGAAGCCCTGTTCCGCCCGAGTCCGACCTGATGCGGACTGACACCTTAAAACAGCTGCCAAATTGAAACCATTTATCAAAATCTGACATCTGAGATCCAGTCACCAAAAAAGCAGTTTGTTTGTAAATTGATACTAATAGCGAGAGGCCCTTTCCTCGTGCAGCCATTTGCAGCAGGGAGAAAACATTTGCTATCACCTCCTCTAGATTTATTTATTCAAGAGCAAAACTCAATAAGAATGCAGATCCCCCCCCCCACTCAAAACACCCCCTCATACCCACCCCCACCCCCCTCTCTGAGCACCAGGGTTTTAAGACACGGCCCTATAAATAAATAACGGGGTAAATACGCAGGCCAGTGAGGAGGTAAATAAATAACTAAGTGAATACATAAGTACGTGAGCATGCAAATAAATAAATAAAAGAAATAAACACTTAAGTGTGTAAATATGCCAGCCGTTTCAAGCCGAGCATGAAAGGCTGTGTCTGTCAGGTTCGGGGAGCGCGTAGGGGCCGGGGCGGTCTCATTAGAAAGGTCTATATCTTTGTAAATTATGGGGTACTGCATAGGATATTGCTATTTGAACAGAAATAAAGCTGTTCTGTCTGTCAGTGTGATGCTTTATGATGAACCCCTTTAACCCCATTGTGCTCAGTTTTTCCCTTTGATTTTATGCATGTTGATGCACCATTAGTGACCCATTTAACAGTTTGAAGTTAAGTTAACTATA